AAGAGAATGGCTCTAACTTACAACTGTGAATTGCTTAAAGAGAGAAAAATTAATAAAGACTGAATTGCTCTGATGATTATTTAGCCCATAACTCACCTATTCATAACAACTCTTCGTAATCAGACTGTTGTTTCTCGCCCTCCGATGCCAGCCAAGACTGTTTCCTCAGCAATTTTACCCTTATCAGATTATCTCGTCTGATTCTATTAATTTTCTTCCATGAATCTGCTAACAGCACTCTGTGATTTACTTACCCTGCTAAGTGAAGACGGCTAAAAGGATTTATCTAACACTAGACCTAGGAACCGAGTATGCCTTATCACTCCAGTCCTCCCCAGAACTCTTTTTCAGATCAATGGATTCTGTTTCCTACTGAGATTTAGTGGACACTGGTTAGTTCAGCACCATAAAACCAGCTCGCACATAAACAAAGCCATCTGAAGCTGCTAGCTACACCCTGTTCACTTTAGATTCTGTAGGTCTGATGTAAACATGATATATATCAGTGGTAGTAACTTGTAATCAGGAAAAATATATTCCTTTTAGCCTCCAATATTTCAATTTAGATATGAAGGGCCTCCTACCCCTCCATCCCTGTTTGCATGAAGCTATAGGTAGATTGACTCAGAGTTATGGTTGTGCTTTCTGATGTTCCCAAGTCTTCTTGCATGACCAGCCTGATGCCCTCCTTCCCATCCAAACCATTTTATAAATATTCATTGCTTGCAGAAACTTTAATGCTGCTGGTTTGAAATGGTCAATAAGGACAAACGTGTGGTTTCTAAATCACTGTATACAGTTGGCTGAGATTACTGAAGTATATATGGGAGGGAAGGGGGTTCATGTTGTATTTGGATTAGATTGACTTGGCTAGAAGAGAAACAAACAGCTTTAGCAAAGAAGTCGCAAGCACTGTGGCCTGCTATAATTGTGGGGAATCAGAAACCTGAATGGGACTAAATTAAAATGAGAGCTTGCAATTGTTATCAGAGAAACGCCACTCACAGCAAACTGTAAATGTTTAGACACCTCCTGTGAATCAAAAAACAATGCCGAGGGGCCAAAAGGGACCTAAGAGCTAAAGCCCGAAAGCACTCCGACTACATGTCTTTAAAAAATACTCTGTCCTCTCCTCTCTCTCTCTTTTTTTTCAAATGAAAGTGGGAAAATGTAAAAGGCTCTACAAAAAGAGGGGAAAAAACGTGATGGCTGACAATAGCAAAAATGAAAAGTAAACCGTAAAAAAACGTGTAGATAATAATACAGTTAGCTGGCCAAATGTGCTCCCTGAATGTCTAGAAATGGTGTATAATTGTGACAATTGGGTATGTGGTCATGGAGCTATAGGGCATGGTCTCCATCATCAGCGATTTTTGTTCATAAAATGATGTTTATTTATATATATAGCAGTCTCCATGTTCCTGCCTCAAAGCATAGGGTGCAAGGATTATACTTCACAGCTTTTAACAAAAACAATGCCGAAAATTCTAAAAATTATCATAAAAATGAATTATTTCTGAAGACATATTCCTATTTTACCTAGACACATAAACATCAGGCATCTATGGTTAGTGATTTTTAGAAAGACCTAAAAAACCATAGCTAACCAGCACGTTTATGTGATTTTAAACACTAGCTTTTCCTTCGAATGTACACTATCTATGATCCCTTAACTTCATTACCAGGTAAAATATTGTTTGAAAGGAGGAAAGCAAAGAGAGAAGTTTCTTAGGTCACATAAATACTGACATAGTCTTCACTTTTTTCCCCCAAACTGGAAGTAAACACAGTTCATGACACCCACCCCAACAAAGCACTCCTATAAACCAAAACCACCTTTATGAACAATCACTCTACAAAACAGTGCAAAACGAACAGCTTGTCTAGAAAATACCAACAGAGGAAGCCCTTTAGAATGAGGGTGTCTCTACACATCTCCAGGGGTGTCTACCAGCAGGGGTGCCAGAGTTTGCTGATGAGAAATTAACAGAAGTCTAATCTGCTGTTCCAAGCCATGAGTAACCCCAAAGCCTCTTTATAACCATTTAAAAAAAATGCTGTGGGAGGGTTTGAGACCACACTTAGGTGTAATGTTCACAAAACTGGCTTAATATATGACTTAAGTGTCAGAAGTCAGGTTTTTCTGGGAATTACTTTTCAAATAAATGATTGCAAACCACTGCAATAGTTTTGCTTCCGAGCGATGCCTCATTTATCATTGAGTTACAAGGAACTTTCATTCTATAGCTATTGTCAAAGTTGGTTGAAAAGCCTTCTTTCTGGCACTTTGAAAGAGCCTGAGCCCTGTTACATGGCATCAACACGCACAGGCCTCTCAGCCGAAATAACATCCTTCAAGGACTGTGTCTGTGGACCTCTTTCGAAGCAACGAAGAGGGTCATTAGAGAGAGAGAAAAATATTTCAACACCTTCTCGCAGTTTCTGAAGGGCCCTTTCCTGCAAGGTTGGGTTCTGCCACTGTGGTCCAACTAGCTTTTTGTCCTTCTTGCCTCTTCCGACACTGGGAAATCAGCGTCTTCGCACTTTTCTCAAAACCAGACAGATCAATTTTCAACTAACCTTTGACGAAAGGTGGCGCTGTTGAGGTAAAAACCAGCTCAATCCAACAATAGTTTTTACTCTGGATTCTTTTGCAGGCTTTTCAGATTTTTTTTTTTAGTACACCCTTACAGACACCCCCCATAGAGTTAAAATAAATACGATTAATATCAAATGCATTTCCTTATACGAAGGAATCAATAGTCCCAATTTCCAAGCAGGTGAGCCCGTCTTCAGACAACCTTGCTTTCCCCCAGTCAATCTCCGCTTTCCGACTTGCCTATCGCTTTAAAATCTTAGAAAAGAGTTGTTAGTTTCTTTTCTTTTTTCTTTCTCTGCCACCCCCTCCCCATATTTTTTACATAGGTTTGGAAGAATCCGTCTAGAAAACTGAACCGGTTATCAGCATTTGTAACGGGAGGGGGGACAACCCTACCCCACCCCCACTCTGGGTTTCCGGACTTGTCCAGAGAAGAAAGCGGTTTAAAATTTAACCCTTGGAGGGGCGAGAGGGAGGGCTCTGGGATATTGTTTCCCCTCACTTCACCACCAAGTCCCAAATACCAAATAATTAAACGAGATGGGAGGGCAAAGGGCGCCCCGGACCCAGATAAACAGGGTTTGCATTTCATAATGGTGAGGATGGTATTGGGGGGGGTCACAAGCATAGTTCGGGTTTTACAAATGGAAAGGATGGTGAATAGTAAAGGGGAGAGAGGAGAGACTTTGGGGGGGGGGACGAGAGGGAAAAAGGGGGGGAGGAGAGAAGAGAGAATGAGTATGAATATGATTCTCAGAAGCCAAACTCCCAGCCAGAGTCAGGAGCCTGAGGGCTGAGCCCTGCTGAGCCGGCTCTGAGCGTCCGGGAATCAACTTGCTGTCAAAGCCGCCCTATCACTCTCTCCAAGGGTCTAAGATGCCAGCGGGCAGCTAGTCACTATATAGAACGTCCCCAAACACTTTCGGGCCCCTCGTTTTGCAGAAGAATCATAGAGGCTTTCTTCTCCGCGCGAAACCCAAACAACCAGGGCAGGCAGGCGCACAGCGCACAGAGCTCATTCTGGGTCCCCGCACCCTTGGCGCCCCCATCTGATCACCTCACTTGGAGAGGGACAAAGAGTTGAGTCAAGTTGGGTCCCAGAGCATCAGATTGAGGGAAAGAAGGTACCCTCACCCCCACTCCTCAAGAGCCACGGAGGATGCTGAAGGAAGATCAAAGAGCGAAAACTGCAAGAGGAGTGAATGCACCTTGTCAGGGTGCGGGACCGGCAAGGGACAGGAGTGTTCAGGAGGCTCTCTGCAGCGCCAGAGTTGCAGCTCAGCAGGGCAGGCCTCTCCCGAGCTCCGAAGAAAAGCAAACCGTCCTCCCGGGTCCTCCCGGATTCCAGCCGCCCTTTTACCAAACTCTGTCTGTCCCCTGGTGCACTAAACTTCGCGCGGGACGGGGGTGGGGGATGTTGCTCCCTGGCTGCACCGGAGCAGCGGCGCCGCAAGGGTTAAGCCAGCCTGTCCCAGCTGACAGTCAGCTGATTGGGCTGTGATTGACAGCTCCGAAAAGTTTCCTTGTTTCTATACTATTATGCTAATAGCGGCCGCTCTCGCTGCCTCCCATTGGAGGAGAGTGCCAGTCAATTTCCCATTTGAGTCTGACGTCACGGGTGCTATAAAACTCAGCAATTGCTTTAAACTCTTCTCGCTGGATCAGAGGCTTTAAAATCTTTTTTCATCTTGGAGCTGTAGCTCGGGCTGCTAGTCCGCTCGGCCTCTCCCCCCACCCTTTCGCTCTCGGCCTCTCCTTGGCCCAGGACTTTGCAATCTTGCTTTTTTTTTCTTTAAAAAAAAAAAAAAGCCAAAACCAAAAAAAAAAAAAGGCAAGAAAGAACTAAACTCCCCCCTCCCTTGCCTCCAGCCGGCCTGCACCTCGGTCTTGCACTTTGCACGGAGGGAGAGGGTGAGAGAGACAGAGCGCGCGCACGAGAGGGATCCGGAGAGAGAAAAGAAATAATAATAGTAATCATAAGAGTCAGGCAGAAGAGGAGAAAACCGTGAAGTGTTAACTACCCCGGTGCCGAGGCCCGCGCCTCCGGGACAGCCACCCGCCGCGCCACCCAGGCCCGGAGCAGCAGCTGCGCGCGCCCCGCCTGCAGTCCGGCCGGCTTAGGCGAGCCCTCCTTATGCAAAACGCGCAGCGGAGCGGCGAGCCGGGGACGCCGCGCACCGGGCCGGTCTCCTCCGGCATCCTCTCCGCCGCCGTCATCGCCACCGCCACTGCCAGCTGCGGAGGACCTTCCCGAGCCTGAAGCGCCCGGGATCCGAGCTCAGGGAGGCGAGCAGGCGAGGAGGGGGCCCAGGGCGAGCGGGAGAGAGAGAGAGAGCAAGAGAAAGAGAGAGAGCACATTGGCGTGAGCAGGGGGAGGGAGGGCGGGCGCGGGGGGCTGCGGGCAGGGCGGGGGGTGTGTGCACGCTCGAGCTTTCGGGCCACAGCCACCGCCGCGCGAGCTAGAAGCGCCCTAGCCCGGCAAGCTGGCTCACCCGCTGGCCACCCAGCACAGCCCGCTGGCCCCTCTCCTGCAGCCCATCTGGCGGAGCGGCGGCGGCGGCGGCGGAGGCAGGAGGATGGCTTCAGAACTGGCAATGAACAATTCCGACCTGCCCACCAGTCCCCTGGCCATGGAATATGTTAATGACTTCGATCTGATGAAGTTTGAAGTGAAAAAGGAACCGGTGGAGACCGACCGCATCATCAGCCAGTGCGGCCGTCTCATCGCCGGGGGCTCGCTGTCCTCCACCCCCATGAGCACGCCCTGCAGCTCGGTGCCCCCGTCCCCCAGCTTCTCGGCGCCCAGCCCGGGCTCGGGCAGCGAACAGAAGGCGCACCTGGAAGACTACTACTGGATGACCGGCTACCCGCAGCAGCTCAACCCCGAGGCGCTGGGCTTCAGCCCGGAGGACGCGGTCGAGGCGCTCATCAGCAACAGCCACCAGCTCCAGGGTGGCTTCGATGGCTACGCGCGGGGAGCACAGCAGCTGGCCGCAGCGGCGGGGGCCGGCGCCGG